CCACCGAGGCGGACCCGTGAGTGATCCCCGCGCCCGCGCGCCCCGGCCGGGGCCACGATTCAGCCTTGCTTCCACTTTCATTTCTTCCGCCGTCCGGGCGTGGCGCCGTCGGGGGCGACCTCTGCCCGAAGCCAGGCTGGCCACAGTCCTCGGTCCGAGTCCGAGCAGCGAAAGTCGAAAGTCGGGGTTTGGGGGTGCCAGTGTTTGAGGGGGCGTGTCCTCGGGGGCGGAAATGTCTGGCCTGCCCTTCTGGGTCCTACGACCGGGCTCTCCTGGCAGTCGGGCAGGAGAGAGGTGGAGGAGACCGACGGCCAAAGGGTGGGCTTGGGTGGCTGGGCGTTGCGGCGACTCTGCAGACTCTGCACAGAGCACGGAGCCCCACCCCGACTTTCCTCTTGGATCTCTGCCCTGCAGGGAGCCCCTCCGCCCCCACGCCTTTCCCACAGCTCTAGGCTGCGTTCTAGGTTCAGCCTGAGGAATGGCAGGTGTGGCCCTGGCAGGGGGCTGTCAGAAACAGGAAGTGTTCCTCTGTGGTCTTCCTTTGGGCAGCCCAGATGCCCACCCAGGCTGTGAAAGGGCACAGAATTGGGAAATAGGGCTAAGAGGGGCAATAGTTTTGATTCAGGGAGGGAACCAAGGTTCTGTGAGGGGTGGGAACTCAGGAAGGTTTTGGAGTGGGAAGTGAGGAGAATCAAGTGGCATGGAGAGAGGGCACCTACCCATCCTCCCACTGGCAGGCTTACCTTTTCCTGGGAAAGACCCAGGCCTGGAGGATAGGTGGGACTCCAGCCCACTGGTCAGGACACCCAAGTTGCTGCGGGGCAGTGGGGCGGCTCAGCGTGTTGGAACAGGAATTAGGTGGTCTAATTGGTGGGGAGATGCTTCCCCTCTCCCTCCACTCCCCTCCTCTCCCCTTATCTCCGCCAGACCAGGGACCAGCTAGTGCAGCCAGTGTAGGAAAATGGTCTTTTATTCTTGTCTTGGGCCGCACCCCACCTTATCCCAGTTCCCAGTTCTGTCCTTGGAGAGCCTCTGCCTATAACTTGCTGTGTGAATGCAGGCTCTCAAGTCCCCTTTCTGGGCCTCATACTTCACATCTGTTTAAGAAGTGGGTTGGGTCCGTTGATTTCTCAGGGCTATTTCAACCCTAAGATTCTTTTTTTTTTTTAAACTTACCTTTAATGTTGGAAGTTATACAAATGTACCCTTTTTTCCCCATGGGCCCCTTCTAGCCCACCCCTTCTCCCAAACCCAGGTCTTCACCACACTATTGTCTGTGTCCATGGGTTATGCATAAATGTATGTAAGTTCTTTGTTAATCTCTTCCCACCCACCCACGCCTGCGTTCCCTCTGAGAACCCTAAGATTCTTGAGTTTAAACTTTCCTTAAAGCCTGAGCATTGACCATGTGCCAGGCCCTGCCCTAGGCTGGGCGTGGGGGTGGAGGGGTGTGAAGATTCAGAGGCAGGAGTGAGGGGCATGTTCAGGGATCAGCAAGAAGCCCAGAGTGGTTGGTTGGGAAGTGGGGCAGGAAAGGTAGGGTAAGGTGTTGAATGCCAGAGTGAGGGTCTGTTGGTAACAGTCAGTAAAGGGAACTGGGCGAAGGTAATGAGCCCAGGAACCCCACCTGATTGCAGTGTGAGAGATTTTGGAAGCACCTGCCCAAGCAGAGTTTAGAATGCAGGTAACACGTGAAGCATGGAAGTTGCCTGCTCTTGGGTCAGGAAGCTCGGGTCCCATGCTGGGGACTTCTTTGGGTGAGAAGGTGGGGGGCAGGGATGGATTCTCCAAGTTCCTCTCATTTTATTTGACTGTCCTCTTCTTTGCCTGCCTGTTGTGGTTACAACAAAGAACCCCTGTTCCGAACTTCTCCACTAGCTTGACTTATTGCCTGACATGACACCTCCCCCAACCCATATTTACGGTGCCTTTGGTTACATCCAGTGTCACCTTTTCCCTATCCTCCTTCCCCAGTCCCGTCCCAGTATTACTAGAGACATGCGAAAGGAAAAATGCTCCAATGTCAGCTCTGAGGTTTTGTTTGTGGCTATATTCAAGCCTCAGTCTAGGACGGGAGTCAGCACCCCCACTGACCAGGGTCAAGATCAGGTCAGACCTCAACCTGGAGCCAGAGCTCAGTGCTTGGCCTATACTCAGCCTGAGTGCTCAGTCTGGGGTCAGGGTCAGTGCTCAGTTTGTGGCTAAATTTGTCTCAGTAGGAACCTAGGTCTGCATTTCCCAAGAGCTCACAGACTCACAGAGGAGGTAAGAGCCTACCTCATGAGTCACAGTAACCTGGACTATATCGGAGTGACCCAGGAAGTTGCATGGGCCAAGTCCATGCCTACCTACTACAGTCATGGTGGTGCTGGGCCTATAACCCAGGACTTCTGCCTGCAAGCTTGGGGCTCTGATTGCTGTCCCCAAGGTCTGTTCTGAGTCTGGGATTCTTCAGTTCTAAAAGGCAAAGCAAATTCATATGAATTCTAGATGGGCCCAGCTGGGTAGATCTGACTGCATTCCTACCTTCCAGTTCCAGGCACATAGTGGGTGCTCTAGGAATGTCTACTGCGTAGCAGGTGCAGGGGGAGGGGCCTGTTGGGGTTTCCGCCAGAGGAGGCTGGCTTGGGGGGAAGGATCTCCAACTGCTGTTGGAGGAGGTGGTGCCCTTCTAGACCTGCTACCTCCCCCTCTCCTCCAGCCACTCACAGGCCACCCAGCTGGCCATATAAGGGCTTTTCCTCTTTCAGGGTAATAACAGGAAAGGACATTTTTGGTAGAAAAGTCCCTCCTGCTCTCTGGGAATCCCCGGTGGCTGGTAGCCGGCCGGCCGGATGAACTATAAGATATCCCAGAGGAAGCTGAAGGGGTGGGGGGGCTCCCCCTACCCCCAGCACAATGCCGCCAGGCTCTCCCACGCTGCACCAGGTGGCCTGTGGGGCCCCCAGAGGTCATCTTGTCCAGGGCCGGCAGGAAGCCTCTGTCACCTCTCTACTGGTCAACAGCAAGTCTAAGGAGCACCTGTTGGGATCCGAGGCCCAGGCCTCTGTGAGATGCAATGAATATGGAGAGGAAACAGAATAAGAAGGCAGGGCTGTGGCACTGGACAGGGGAGATAGGACAGCCTGGGAACAGAGCAAGGTGCTGGACCGAGGGAATGAGGAAGATTTAGAATTCGAAGAGGCTGCTGAGATGGGCCAAAAGCTGAGAGGTGAGAGGGAATGATGTGTTGGGAAGTCAAAGCACATTTGGTAAGGACCTGACCACCATGCTCTTCCATGCCCTTGGCTCTGGCAGGGCATCCGCAGGTCCTTCCCCTGGACACCCGTCCCTCCGCCCAGCCTGGCCATGGCCCTGTGCCTGAAGCAGGTGTTCGCCAAGGACAAGACTTTCCGGCCGCGGAAGCGCTTCGAGCCGGGCACACAGCGCTTTGAGCTGTACAAGAAGGCACAGGCATCGCTTAAGTCCGGCCTGGACCTGCGCAGTGTGGTGAGGCTGCCGCCGGGCGAGAATATTGACGACTGGATCGCCGTGCACGTGGTGGACTTCTTTAACCGCATCAACCTCATCTATGGCACCATGGCTGAGCGCTGCAGCGAGACCAGCTGCCCGGTGATGGCTGGAGGGCCCCGCTACGAGTACCGCTGGCAGGACGAGCGGCAGTACCGGCGGCCAGCCAAGCTCTCGGCACCGCGCTACATGGCCTTACTCATGGACTGGATTGAGGGCCTCATCAACGATGAGGATGTCTTTCCCACTCGAGTTGGTGAGTGCCACCTGGTCAGGCCTGGCCAGGGAGGGAGGGAGCCACTGGAGCCCATTTCACAGATGCGGCATTTAGTTTGATATAGGAATTCTGTGGAGTATATGTATGTGTTTAATTTTCATCCCCATTTTGTAGAAGAGGAAACAGGCTCTGAGAGGTTCAATGTCTGCTTGTCAAGATCAGACATCTCAATTTCAGACGGCCCGACTCCCAGTTTGGGGTTCTTCTTGTCTAAAGCTTGAGTGCCCCTCCAGGGACCACCTTGGGGAGACCACTATGATGCTCAGAACCTTCCAGAAGAGGTGCCTCAAGGTGCTCCTAACAGGTTACCCTCCTTGGGTTGATCTGACTTGCAGCCTCCTGGGAGTTCCCTCTGACTCCGGTCCCCAGAAGGGGAGGGGGTGGAGGTTGGATGTGCTGACAGTATTTCCACCTCAGGGAGTTCTAAGGGCAGAGCTCCAAGCTGTGGAGACTTTCCTTATCTCAGCTGGGCAGCCTGGGCGGATAAGGGTGGGTAAGGGAGAGAGTGATGTCACCCTGGCCCTACTTCCCCACCCAAGGGCATCAAGAAGGGGTGTTGGCATGACACTGTGTTCATCACAGCAGCCCCACCCCCACCTGGCCTCAAGGCTTTGGGAATCAGAGGTGGGTGAGGCAGGGTGGTCAAGCCCAGAGGAGAGAAGTCTGAATGCTGAGCACTGAGTCACAATTCAATGCCCTAGGCCCCTCCCCAGCTGGTGGCCTGTCATTTCCTGCACTATCATGCCCAACAGTGGGTATCTTCATATCACCCAGGAGGAAACCTAGGCCAAGAGAGGGATAGTGCACTGAGTCAACAGTGTTCAGAACTGCAGCTCGGGTCTCTTGGGGCCTGGGCCCCAAGTCTAGATAGTCAGGACAAGTCTGAGGAACCTGGACTGGGCCTAGAAGGGCTCATGGAGAGGCAGGGCTCAACCCTTCCTGAGAACAGTGAGGAAGGAGAAGGGATCTGTGGAGTGGGGTGGGCCAGTGTGGGCCTGTATCTGGGCTCTTATTCCCTTCTAGCCTTAACCCCTGGGCTTATGAGACCCCAGATGTCTGTGCCTTAACCCTGGGATGGCAGAGAAGTGCACATGGCCACCAAGATTTCCACCCTGAGCATGGGGGACTATAGGAAACTGTGTCTTTTTCACAGGCTCTAGAGCTCGTCTTTTTTTTCTTTTCTTTTCTTTTTTTTTAATATATTTTTATTGATTTCAGAGAGGAACTGAGAGAAAGAGAGAGCTAGAAACATCAGTGATGAGAGAGAATCATTGATCAGCTGCCTCCCGCATGTCCCCTACTGGGAATCGAGCCCACAACCTGGGCATGTGCCCTGACTGGGAATCAAACCTTGACCTCCGGTGCTCAACCACTGGGCCACACTGCTGGGCCCTAGAGCTCTTCTTCTTCTTCTTTTTTTTTTTTTAAAGATGCTTTTTAAAAATATATATATTTTATTGATTTTTTTACAGAGAGGAAGGGAGAGGGATAGAGAGTTAGAAACATCGATGAGAGAGAAACATCGATCAGCCGCCTCCTGCACACCTCCCACTGGTGATGTGCCCGCAACCAAGGCACATGCCCCCGACCGGAATCGAACCTAGGACCTCTCGGTCCGCAAGCCGACGCTCCATCCACTGAGCCAAACCAGTTAGGGCCCTAGAGCTTTTCTTGAGCAGGGTCTGTGGCATTCATCTCAGAGGGATGCTACAGTGCAGTGCAGACAGGGTTTGAATCCTGCCTTCAGTCAGTACTAATGAATAGTTATGTGGCCTCGGGCAAGTGGCTCCAACTTTATGCACCTCCATTTTATCATATCTAGGATGGCTATCATACCCATGATCATACCAGGAAAAAGGTGCAAAGGGCCCAGCACATGGCCTGGCTCACAGATGGAAGAGTGTTATTGAAAATGTGAAGGAATGAGAGATATCTGAACTAGTTCTTGAAGCCTTAGTAATTCTCAGGATTAGGGGTCTGGGGACTGCACTGTGTATGTTGCAAAGAGGAAGGAGTCAGGGTGGGGTTGGAGAGGTAGGCCAGAATCCTGAAAGGCCTTGAGCAGGGACCATGCTGGGAAGTTAGGACTTAATTATGAAGGCCCATGTTTTTAAAAATGGACCCCAGATGTTGATGAGCTTCCCTTGGAATTTTATCCAAAGGTGTCTTGTGAGAGCACCTACAGATGCATATATTTCTGGGGAGCGTTGAGGCATTACTTCCTTTCATCATACTCTAAGAAGGGTTGTTCAGTGACCCCAACCAGGTGTCAGAGTCCTGCTCAGAGTCAAGGGGAAAGGCGGAAGATAATTTGTATTTCAGTAGAACAGAAGCAAATCAGAGTTGTGCTTCTTAAAAAGGGAAGTATGGGGAAAGCGAATCACGATCTCTCTCTGTCTCCCACAGGGAAGTGTGTTAGGGAAGAGGCCATCCTGGCCAAAGCTGCCTGTGTGTGGGAGGGCAGGCAGGGCTGGGTAGGGTTTCATACCAGGATTCTGATCCCCCTCACTTCTGCCCCTCCCCATTCCCCTAGGAGTCCCCTTTCCCAAGAACTTCCAGCAGGTCTGCACCAAGATCCTGACCCGCCTCTTTCGAGTCTTTGTCCATGTCTACATCCACCACTTCGACAGCATCCTCAGCATGGGGGCCGAGGCACACGTCAACACCTGCTACAAGCACTTCTACTACTTCATCCGAGAGTTCAGCCTGGTGGACCAGCGGGAGCTGGAGCCACTGGTGAGGCCAAGCCCCCACTACCCTCCCCTACCAGCGCTAGTCTCTAAGTTTTCAGATCCAAAGTCTACCTGTACTAAGAAAATCCAATACCCAAGTGGATAAATTAGGGGAAGACAATTCATTTAACAATGATTCTGTACTTTAATAGAGAATATGTTCGAGTTTCAGTTTACAAACCCAGATCTGCAGCCTGGAGTTGGGGTGGGAGGAGGGAAGGGGCCAGGTTCAGGCAGAAGAGCAGCCAGGCCCTATGGTTTGGGTGGGGGCTGCCTGGCAGGTTGAGCTCTGACTGACTCCCATTCCCCACCCCACCCCCACCCTCACCCGCACCTTGTGTCTCTGCAGAGGGAGATGACAGAGCGGATCTGTCACTGAGCCTAGATCTGGACACTGTTGCTCATCAGATGATCGTCTGAATATAGAGTGGCTGAGGAGGGGGACCCTCAGGAGTCTGGTGGCAGAGGAACCTGAAGGCCCTGGGACCCCTCCACACACCCAAAGCCCCTGGACTTCTGGTTCTCAGGAGTCTGCCCATATGTCCCCTGACTGCTTGTGAGTGGAGGAAGGGAGGAAAGGAGGAGCTAAACCTCTGACATGAAGTCTAGGGATGGGGGAGGCTAGAGGGTTTCCACTCTGACACTTGACCTTTTTGTGGTGGTTCCGAAGCCTAACTGGGCAATGTGGATGTGGTTGAGGTGCTGGTAAGAAAGGTACAAGAGTAAGCAGCCTGTGTGTGAGTGAGCACTGTGTGTGTGTGTGTGTGTGTGTGTGTGTGTGTGTGTGTGTGTGATTTTGACTGTGGAGAGCGTCTGTGAGAGCCAGCCACCTTAGACCCTGCCCTCCCTGGCACATAGTGGGACCTCATAAATGTTAGGCAGATGGATGGATGGAAGGAACAAGGGAACGAGGGAGGAAGGGGAGGAGAGATTGGGACCATCAGACCATGATCACTGTAGGAGTGATGACAATTCACTGTCCCCTCTCGATGTGTCTGATGATGTGTAAGTACAATATGTGGTTGTAGGTGGGTGTGGCTCTATGTTTGAAACTTCTAGGCTATCTTTTTCCATCAGCATGAATTCTGGGGAACTGTGGGGAGGTAGGAAGGGGAGCATTGCCCTGGGTACCTAAATCCCTGGCCCACCACAGACACAGGTTCTGATTGCTCAGCCAGGGATGCCCAACAACTAGCATTTCACTCAGCCCTCTGCCTCCAGAAAGGCCTGATTATAGACAGCCTCCTGGGGGTAAGGGGTGATCCCTCTGGCCACAATGGTCCTCTGGTGCTTAAATTGGGAATCACATACTCCAATCTAGCTTCTAGAATCTACACTTGACTCCCAGCATCTGAAGCCCAGCACAGGATAATAATCCAACCCAAGGATCTAGTAGAACTTGAATTGGGAAATTCTGGAGTCTTGTCTCCCATCCCAGGACATTAAGAACCACGGGGCTAGTGAATGCACTCTTCCAGGCTTGGAGAAACCCCATCCTTCAAGCACTTGCCTCCTTTCAACCATCCTGAGACATTCCAGCTGGTTGGCTCTTAGAGCACAGCTGTTCCCAGAGAAACTGGGATGTTCATTCAGTACTCCATTACTCAGCACTCCCATACCCAGCCCTGTGTGCAGACCCACAGGTGGGGAAATTGAGGCAGGGACAGGGCCCTCCCTTCCCAGAGCCTCCACACTGGGAGGCCAGAAGGAGAGCCAGACAAGACCTGAGGAGCATCTAGTCTCACTCAGAATCCTCCACGTACATAAGAGGAAACTGAAGCCAGGAGGAGAAGCTGTCCTAGGCCTCACGGCAAGGCTTTGTGGAGCTGGAGGAGAAGCACATGGAATGAGGGTTTGACAGCCCCTCTCCAGGACACAACTGTTCCTGCTTTGAGCAAGGATTTCTAGCCTGATGTCAGAGTGCCCCACCTTCCCTCAGGCCTGCCAGGGTTATCTGCTGAGCCAAACCTCCAAACTCATGCCCCTCTCCATGACCCAGCAGCTGCCTGATCTCTGGGGAAGCAGACGGGGCTCCTGGAGTCAGCCCACTGGACTCGGGCTGCTGCCTCCTGAGAAGTTCCCAAGGGAAGCAACACTGGCCCTGCAGCTTTGCCAAAGGCTCTGGAGTGAGGGGGGAAGGGAGGTGTCAAAGATTCTCCCAGGGACAGTGGATGGTAAGATAGATTCTAGGGCTAGGCCGTGGCCGGTGCTGATGGAAGAAGGGGGTGAGGTGGGTGGGAGGGGTGGGAGGGAAGGGGGGAAATCTATTTTTGTGAAACAGGGAAGACTTTATTGTTATTTTTGGTAAAATAAAGGAGGCAAACTAAAGCAGCGCTGGTGGGAAGCTGTGGTCTGGGTGCCACATGGCTCTTGGGCAGACTGGAAGGAACTGGGCCAGAATGGGGAGGGAGGGATTTTTGTCCCCGGCCATAAGGAGTGCTGGCTGGTATGGTCATGTCTAGCCCAGCTCTCCAGGGTGGAGACACCAAGGTTTTCCCAGGGCTCTGAGAATGCTGAACTAGAATTCCTGGGCAAGGCTAGGATCCTGGGAGTGGGGAGGACTGGCCCTTGCCTTTGGGGAGCTCAGTCTCTTCTTGGAAGATTCTTTACTTGTTTCAGCTTAGGCCATCTGGCACTGGCTGTTCTCACCCCCTTAATGTGGTTGTTGTTTTTGGAGCGAATGGGTTAAGGAACGGGGCAGAAACAATGCTAACCCTACTCACAGCAGAGGAAGCCCTTCTCAAGAAAATGCTGTTGGGGCAGCTGGACGTGGGGCTGACTCCTGAGCTTATTCCCCTGGAAATACCTGAGTTTCTTAGCTCAGGTCTTGCTTTCATTCCACTGCCCCTTACCCTCAACTGCCCAGATGAATTGAAAACAGCTTGGTTCTTAAGAGTCAGCAAAGGCCCGCCTAGAGCTCCCCGTCTACCTAAGGAGGAGCCTGGCTCTGCAGCAGCTCTCCTGGGAGGCAGAGGTCTGGCTTCTAGTCCTAGCCCAGCCCCTGACTATGACAGGCCCCTCCAGACCTCTATTTCCCCATCTACTAGTATTTCATGACCAGGAGTGGATACAAGGAAATTATTGATTCTAAGCTCCTTCATTATTCACAGTCTATGAATCATTCATAATGATAACAATAATAGCTAATATTATGTGTCAGGTACCGTTCTAAATGCTTGATATACAATAGCTTGTTGAATCCAGTTTGTCTTTGGGTAGCTGCCTAGCTTCCTTCTTGGTGCCCAGTATCCCCCATTTCACTGCTCTAGGATCTGTAAGGCCCTCCACTCTGCTGCCCCTTCTTCTGGCTCACCAGAGGAAGCCCAAGTCCAACACTCTAAAGGTGGCTCTGCTTGCACACCTCCTGTGACAGGTCACTCACTACCTCCTCAATTGCTGGAGAGCTCAGACTCCTAGGAAGTTCAGGTTCTGAGATTATAGTTGTTTTGAAATACACCATGGCAGTGAGGATAAATTAATCTCAGAACCGTGTGACCAAGGCCTGCTCCTTACAAGCCATCACAAAACTGCTTTGAGAAATTCAGAGAGGGATGCTTAGAGAAGACTAGACAGAGATAGAGAGGAAGGAGGAGACAGAAGAGAGAAAAGCCCCTCTCCCAATCCATAGGGCAAAACTTTGCATGAGAAAGTCCTGGGAGAGGCAAAGTATTAGGGGCAGAGGGACAGTTTGGGCAGTCAGGCTGTTGAAGCCTTTGTTTTCCTGGATCCATAAAACTATTTGGAACAGGGAATAAGAAAGTGAGCCATTCTCCCCACCTTGGAGCAGAGCATCCCCCTATTGAGTAAAGACTGCCCTACCACCCTCAGCCCTTTTGAATACTGCAGCCTTTTCTTTGAGGTTTCCTGCTGCCACTTCCCCTTCCCGGGGAGCTGTATATAGTGTGGTAAAGGGAGCCGCAAGCATGGCTGGAGCTCCACCTGATTTGGGGGAGCCCTTCCTCCTGTGAGTTTCCCAGAGCCCTCCTCTCTGTGTTAATGGACTTGGTTGCCATATGGAGGACATAGCAATTCTGAGCACTTGGATTGGAACATAGGCCTGAGTGGCTCAGGTGCAGCTGGTTATTGAGACATTCAAGGAACAGAAGGGAACAGGCCAGCATGGCCTCTGAGCACATGAAGCTTGATGAGCCCAGAAGGTGATGATGGGAGAGATCAGGATCCAAAGGGGCCTCCAGGTTGGACTGAGAGATTCTGGAAGTGACTGAATATGGATGCTTGGGAGAAGAACCTCTCTCCAGCCTTCACCTACACTGGGAAATCTAGCAAAGCCCTGAATGTTCTCTAGTGTTCCAGACCTCCTTCCATCATACAGATGAGAAGACTGGGCTGAGAAGGGGAAAGGGAATTCATGTTTTTCAGATGGATGATGGGAAGGAAGTCCAAGAGGCTCATAACAATCCTGAGACAGGAAGAGAAGGGATATTTACTTCCATTTCACAACAGAGGAAACACACCCGAGTCAGGACCTGAATCAAACCCAAGTCAGCATTCTCATTATCTCATCACACTTGCATCTTGGGAGAGGACCTGGGGTTGGCTGAAATATCAATATATTTGCAGTTAGTTTTCTCCAAGAAATGAACTTTTAAGTCTTTTTATTTTGAACTACTGGGGGAATGCTTTACTAAAGGAGAAACTTTCATCGTGAAATTATAGGCACCCAAACCTTTTAAGAAATTTTACAGAATTAGCTCTCATTTTAGAAAAGACAGGCAGCATATCCCCATACGTAAAAGACATTTTTAAAATTCCTTCTTGGCATGCAGGAGCTCTCGGTAAATGTTAATGACACCTGATGCTTCCTGGCCTCCTCCCTCCTGGCGCTTCCCAGGCTTCTCAAAGTTCACGCGAAAAGTTCAAGCATCAAAGGAGCTAAGCCCCACCCACTTCCCCGCAACCTCCCCGCCCCTCTCAATCGCGCCTGCGCAGTTCACTAAGCTCGCCCCACCCTCTCCCTGGGCGTAGCCGTCAGGGCGCAGGCGCAAGTCCGCCCCCGCGCTCCTCTGCGGTCGGGCCCGCCCCCTCGGGTCTAGCACCGCCTCTTCCGCGTCCTCAGCAGAGCGATCTGCTGGAGGGGGAGCGCGACCGGTTCTGTGGAGAGTCCGCTGAGGGGAAGACAAGACAGCGAGGTATCCCTGCGAGTGAAATGAGTTTCGGGGAGGGCGTGTCTGTGAGTGAGTTCATGCCCTGGGACGGAGAAATCAGGTCCTTCGGAACCGTCCGAGGTCACGACCCGATTGTGCTGCGGGTGTCAGCCCAGGGGACGCTTTTTTAGCGTCCTCTCAGGGCTCCGTCCGTGAGGAGCTCGGGGTGCGGCGTGGGTCCCGGTCGGGCTTGGCCTGTGCCTCGGGTCGGGGCCGGGGTGTGGCAGGTGTCCGAGGTCGGAGCTCAGTCTGGGGCCAGTTGGAGACGGAGTCCTGCTAGCTATATGGCTGGGTTGGAGGCTCAGGCGGTCCAACATCATGAGTCATTTTTCGTGTGAGGAATTTCTAATATCTTGGTCCTACATATTTTAAAGTTAACTGTTTTCATAGAAAAGCTCCTGACATGCGCGGTCGCTGTGCCTGGAGGAGAGAGCACAGTGCCGGTGCCATCTCTCCCCTGAGGGAGGGACTTTCCAGGCTACCTGTCCGTCAGGTGGCCAGGAGCAGGCCAGCACGGTGACCGGGGGGACGCGTTGGAAGTGCGTGGCGCTGGATCTCACCTCTGCACTTCTATCTGTGTGTCCTCGGGCAAGTCATTTCCCCTCGCAGCACGTTACTGTCTCCTGTATAAAAAGGGCCAAGTAGGGTCATTGGGAAAGGTGAATAGAATTCCGTGTGTCACCTAGCATGGCACCTGTCATGAAATGGGTGTGATTTATGAGCTCGGTCATTTTGGACTGGGGTACTTTAGAGAGGCCCTGGGGGGAGAGTTGAGGTGACCTAGGTCCTGACGCCTCAGTGGGGTTTACAGGTGGCTCTGACCTTGTAGGATGGGAAAGGAACAAATGCTTGCTAGCCATTGCCCGTGTGCCAAGTGCCACGCTGGGCAGTTATCTCACTGGCTCCTTAGCCCTTGGCCAGGTGCTTTCGGCCCCACTGCCCTTAGCTTCAGCCCCTCCCAAGAGAGCTAGGCTGGAAGTGATGTCAAGGGGAGAGCGGCGGGCGGTTGGGCTTTTCTATGGAGCCGGGCCAGCTGGAGATTGGGGCCAACTTATCCCACGTCAGCTCTTCCCTTCCTGTGACCCAGAAGGATGGTTGGGTTCTTGACTTTGGTTGGCAGGCCTGTTACTCTCGTTCCCTAGAAGATTGTGAGGGCCAGAGGGCCTGGCAAGTGAGCACCTCCTGAGGTCGGACTGCATGAAGCTGGACCGTGCCCGAGAGACGCTCTGTGAATGGGAGCTGTTGGGTTCCTGCACCTGCTTCTGCAGTGTGGTCTCCTGTTACGTGGTCTCATCGTAGTCTCCTAACTTGATTCCTTTTGCATCCTCTTTATGGGTGCCCGCATGATCTTCCTGCGACACTGTTCTCATCATTTTTTATCTCTGCTCAGAAACCTTGGTGGGCTTCGTTGCCTGTCTGATAGAGCAGTGGTTCTCAACCTTCTGGCTCTTTAAATACAGTTCCTCATGTTGTGACCCAACCATAAAATTATTTTTGTTGCTACTTCATAACTGTAATGTTGCTACTGTTATGAATCGTAATGTAAATATCTGATATGCAGGATGGTCTTAGGCGACCCCTGTGAAAGGGTCGTTCAACCGCCAAAGGGGTCGCGACCCACAGGTTGAGAACCGCTGGTGTAGAGTTTGGACTCCTCAGCCTCATACACAAGTTCCTCCGTAATCTGTTCCAAAACTTCTCTTCTGTTTCCCCTTGTCTTGCACCCTGTGACCCCGTCAAAACAAACTACTTTTTGCTGCTCACACCCTCCCTGCATGTTCCTTTGCTTGTATTCCCTCTTCCTGGAGTCCCCTCTTCCCTCTCATCTTTCAAGGCCCATGTGACCTGTCAGTGAAGCTTCCCTGATTCCCCTGCTGGATTAGTTGTCCCCTTCCCGTCTTCTGTAGCAGAGGCCACAGCTCGACTATAACTCTGTTTGCTGTCTGCCTTCAGGTCTGTCACCCCATATGTACTCTGAGTACATTGGTGGCAAGGGACCATGTCTGTTT